TTTGTTGAGTATAACTAAAGGAACAAAAAATTTAATCTCCTCCTTCACTTAAATTTTAGTGGCATCTTCATATATGTGATTGCAAGAAGAGTGCATTGCTGTGTAGTCTTGATCATTAGTACCATCAGATACTTGATTTTCAAGAATAGTTGGCAATGGGAATGATGTGAATTGACTACATGATATTTGCTGACTATAGGAAATATAAAAATTTAATTGACGATTAATGACCAGCTGTAGCTTACTTAGTATCATTATACCTGATATTGAATACAACATCATTGTCTAATTTAGCAGTTGGAGTTCTTTTGCCAGAAACTGGTTTTCTAATAAAAAACAATAAGACGAACTTGCATTGTGATAAAATAATATTTGCATACATTCTACATAGCTTATTATGCAGTGCATTGCTGTGCACATGCATAGTTTTATGTTTAGTAATAGTTATTGTGTAAGAGTCAATCAATATTTGAATTTACTTTTTGATCTACTTACCTATTTACAGCCTTTCTTATTCTGTAATAATAAATGATGAGAGTCAGTGATATTAGTAGTACAGTAATCATCAGTAGTATTACCGGTAGTATAATAGCTGACATTATCACTGCCGTGCTTTGAGTGCTTTCTACAGTAGCAGTGGCAGTTACTATTACTGGTATGGTGGTGACAGTGATGCTACTCAGGTTGAATGGTGAGGAAGAAGGAGGTTCACAAAATGAGTTGGTTACTGTCAATATTATTGTAGATGGTGTTGGAGATGGTAATGACTCACATGTATCTGTAAAGCAATGATCATAGCACATACAATGAAGTATAAGAAGTATATTAAATCAAATAGGCTTATATGTGCATGTTATATGTGAGCTTACAGTAACATCTGTATAATTAATGTTAAACTATTTACCTAAGGAGCATGACACTCCTACATCTTCTGAATGATCACAGCCAAATGAATCACGAATTGAGCAAGCCAGTAGGTTATATTCATTACCAGAACATTGCCCCAAACCTGTAAACATATGGCCAATACCACTACCATAACTATGATCAGGGCCTCGAAAATATGTAGCACCTAAAAATTGAGAAATCATTAACACTTCTAGATCTAATAGTGTGATCTTCTTATGTCAATAATTGAAAATTAGGTAAGAGAGAGGATGAGCTAACTCACCATCAGTATTATATCCCAATTGTCTACACACAACTTTGGCATTATTATTAGTCCAATATTCATCACACACTGTGCCCCATACTCCACTGTAACAAAACTCAACACGTCCTTGA